CAAGAGGAGAGGGTGTTTCCAGCTTATGTGGCCAGTGTCCCCCTCAAAAAGAAAGCTATAATTTATGTAGAGGGATTTAGACTCCTGGTATAATTGCAAAGAAGGGAAAATTACTAGAATTAAAAAAAAAAAAAAAAAAAAAAAGATGCAGTCAAAGTGACTGGTTAATGAAGCAGAATGCTGGCATCTCTCTTGGTATTGTGAATGTTAGAAGAGTCATAGTAAGTCATTCTGCTCCATCCCTCTGCCAGCACAGAATTTGACTTTATGGTTTATTTGCCATGGCCAGACTTTCCCTCTGTACGAAGTTCGTCTACACACCTTTCTATAAATCACAGTGGCAATGTAAATGATTGCTTTTTTCTCTCTTAGAATTCACTCCACAACCTGTTTGCTTCATCTTGCTGATATAGCCAGATCCTCACCTAATGTATTTTGGTGCAACTCTGTTGTTCTGGCCCATTGTATATAATTAGCATATATTTTCCTTTATTTTTAAACATTATTTTTATTTAGGATGCCATAAAAGGAAGGTGGAAACACACAAGATGAGCATAAGCAAGCTCCAACAAATCTAGAGCTGCATTTGTAACAGGGAAAAGAGCTATGGTTCAGTGAAATAATACACGTCGGGAGTGGTTGAATCATGAGCCCCAACAGCAACTATTTTTTATTGCATAATAAACAGATAAGACAACCCAAAAAGAAAAGACTAAGCGCAGTCTAACAAATCAATGTAAGTATAACATTTAGAATCAGATAACATTGTGGTAGCAGTCTCTGCTATTAATGAAAATGGAGGAAGAGGCTGCTTTCTTCCAGCGTTAGAGGACAGGGACTTGAGGAGCAGAGCTGGAAGAACTCATGACATGAACAAGAGAAAAGAGCAAGATCTGTAGCAGAGGGAGAGATTTTTGCTCCACAGAGACAACTGAGGTGTGATTTAATATACATTTTCTGTGTGTATTTGTGCAGTAAATAATAAGGCTTACCTTCCTGTAGCTGTTCAGATTGCCAGAGGCCCTCCTGCTTTTCGTACAGAAACATTTTACTTTCCAAGCCACGACTTTACCTGTACTGGAATCTTTAACTAGAAATTATTAATATTTATTACGTCAGAATAGCATCACTTTGGGGACGGCCATGAACAGTGCCTTCTGCCAGGCATTGCACAAACACAAGCATGTCGCTCTGAGGCATTTATGGTTTACATAATTCGGCTGCACAGCAGGTTTTCTCCCACGCAGATGCTGCTAATGCTGACACGCTTCACCCCTGCTCAAGCCCCAGCGACACATCCTTGAGGGAGTCTCTGTCTCCGCAAGAGTTTGCATGACTGCGGTTAGGCACAAGGCTACAATATCATTATAAGCAGGGGAATGGCAGCAAACCTGGCTTCCCACTGGAGGTACAATATATTGCAGTGCATTGCCTTGTGAGGAAGCAGTAACAAGTATTTATAGAATTTGCTTGGAAAAGTCAGTTTTCATGAAGCACTACCCACCTGACTGGGAGACTGAAAGTTTCAATGGTGCCACATGGCTCTGCCAAGCAATTTTTGATAGAGTTATTGGAGATGTAATTTCCCAGGGTGGGTTTTTTGGGTTGGATACAGGCTTGGTGTGGGGACAGTGAGGAGAGCTGAGCCCTTTCCTTCTTTGGCATCTCACTTCCACCCTGTGCGAGGTGACAGGGAGAGGTGCATGAATATGGGGGTGTGGATGGGGTCCTTGGTGCTGAGCGCACTGAGCTCCTGGAGCTGTACGAGAGAAATGGGAATGGGAAGTAAAGCCTTTTCTGTTCCCTCCTTCCCTGATAAATCCACACCTTGTTCTGGACTATTTTTAGGGGTGATTTTTTGAGTCATTAATTGCTCGTGCACCATCTACTTGAATTTGCAAATGAAACAATACCTCAAAGAGATAGGAGCTGTCTCTATCCATCTCTACAGGGTGTAATTTATGAAACCTAAATTTAAATGTTAACCATGTTTAAATGTGCTACTGTAGATCATATTAGTAGTAATGCCAGCTATTCTGGGGTTGTGGAAGGAGTTTGGGATCAGGGTGGAGTTTATAAGTACTCCCACTTCTCAATTTCCTGGTTAACATCATTCTCTTACATGATAGCATTATAAATTATTTCAGACTAGTTCTTTCTGTCTCTATTTAAAAGCAGCATGACCTCACCACAACATCTCCTTGGCTTAGTTCATCCTGTGTTTCAAAGCTTCACAGAAAATGCTTCCTAGAAGAAAAGAAGATCATGGAGCTCATGAGGGGTTTTGGTTTCAGGAATTGGACACAGCGTGACTGAAACTGTAAGAGGTATTGAGGGCATGCCATGCAGACAGGGAGCTGGAATAACACAAGCCTCAAATTTCTAAGCTTTATCCTTATCTGAGAGCCCTCCCCGTATGACTGGTACTGTCTGAGTGCAAACCAGAGGAGTTTGATAACTCCACTGACCAAACACCTGCCAAGTCAAAATCTCAGAAACAAAAGAATTGGTTTCAAAAGCCCACCATGGTTTCTAAGCAACGTATTTACTTGTCACATCATTTGTAAAATCCAAACACTTGCAAGTAAGGATATGAATAGCTTAGAACATTGTAAATCTCACACTACCCCTATTATGAGCCACATTTCATTAAGTATAAAACCACACATTTCAAAAATTCATAACCTTCATTTTGACTCATAGTTTGCATGTTTTGTTTTTGCCTTAAATGTAGTGTTAGTATTTTCATGTACTGTTTTTCTTCTGTGAATGAGTGATTGTTTTGAAATATTTGCTGCTTTTTTCAGCTCTTGAGTGCATGTGATTACTATTTGAGCTTATTTTAATGGGAGGAAAAACAATTTTCTAGGTCTCATTATTACAGAGAAAAAACTTGAAAATATGATCTGAACAGCTCAAAAACAAGAGACATAAATCCCCCCATGCATGAAAAAACTGACAATTTTGGGAACTCGAATCCTGCTTTTTCTGTGCTAGCTATCAGCAATGCTGGTTTTGTCCATTTGTCCTGCTTTTTTGCAAAACACTTTCTTCTTTTCATCAAGAATAAGCCTTGAATTTTTTCAGACCTGAGAAACCTTCCAAGTCAAAGCCAATAAAGGAACTGAAATGGAAACTGATTGCTGCCTTGACTATGTAGAAACTTCCATCCCTCTCTAATAGCATGATCTGGAATGCTTATTGTCTTTACTTTCAATCTCTTTCCCATTATTAGATTTCAAATTTAACTCTGCTATAAAGCATTCCTAGTGAGCAGTTTGCTTTTATTAACTGAGGTTCTATTTGCTCTACCTAAACATCTGAAATCAAAGAGTAATGGTGAGGAAATGGGTGGCAGTTTCTCGCAGATTAGTGTCACATAATGAGCTATCATTTTGAATTATAGACACAAGTTGTACATATGCTGCCACGGCAGAAGAGCCACAGAGGAGATTATTCCGGTACCAGAACAAAGGCTAGGAGACTGGGACACTGCTCTTTTGTCAGTAATACAGCTGGTGAATGGACTGGGAAGAACAGCTTGAATGAGCTGCTATATTACAAATGGTTTAACAAAGGAGATAAGCAGAATTTCCTAACTCAATGGGCAAGCAAGAGACCTGTGTTAAAAAGTGGTGACTTAAAAGACGCAGCTGTTTCAATTGATGGTATCTGCTCACTGCAGCTCAAGGTCAGATCTAGCCACTGTCAAAAACAATGGAGAGCAGTAGCCTACCTGGCAGCCAGACAGCCTCAGGCCCTTTGCCTCCGCCAGTGTGCCCGTGCTGTGATGGGGACGCCAGAGGTGATGGTGGTGGGGCAAGAGGAAGCCTCCATCCCCATTCCTGCAGGACATCCCAGCTAAACTCTCCAACGTTCTTCCTTTGCTCCTCCCCCTCCATCCTTCTCTTCCCCATCCATAGCAGAGACAGGCTCCTCCATCTCCAGTGATTTCATTTGCATGGTGGAGAAGCCGTTCTCTGCTCTCTTACCTGTGCTGTAGGCAGGGTGCCCAATCCCTGGGGAGGATCGGTTTGTACAATGTGTAGCTGTGACATCCTGCTTTCTCGAGGAGACGTACTCCTTGAGACTATCTCATTACTGGCTGGGCAGAGACAGGAGCCAGTAAAGAAATGATGATATGAAAGGCCTTGCTTGGAGTCAAGCCAAAAAGCATGCTTTGGAAGAGCTCCCTGGTGAGGAGAACATAAAAGGTTTAAAGGAGGATGGTTGAGACGCTGTGTGACAATCTGGCACGACAGCAAGCTGAAGGGAAACAGCTTGGACAACAGGAGGACGGTACCCAAACAAATGGCTGCACAGAGAGTGGCTGGGAAGCCCAAAGGGAAACATTTGACTTTTCCCAGAAGGAAACGGTGGGGGTGTCAGCTCAGGGCAGTAGCCTGCTGGGGCTGCGGATGTGAGAGGCATGGCTACAAGGGTTGGCCATTCGCAGCGAGTGGAGGTGTTCCTGTCGAAAACCAGCCAGAAAGCGTCATGACCAGAAGTCCTCATAGTTCTGCCTGCCAAGGGGTCTGTCAGCTCCATCAGGAGATGGGAAAGGATTGTGTCTCATGGCTGTCGCACAGGGAACTGCAGCTCAGGAGCCCTTGTCACAAACAGTCATTACCAAGAAGAGCCTGGAGGTAGAGGGTAGTGAGCAAAGGCTGCATCAACGGACTCAAAACTGGCAAGTAAAGTGCCCGTCATTCTGGACTGCCAGACTTCTCTGCAATAAATGTCCAAGCTACTGAGCTGCTGGTGGTGCAAGCCTGGATGCTTTGATGGGGGTGATTTTCATACTTGATTTAAAGCTGAACTGAATGTGCCTGTTAATGCCAAATAGGTAGATGCATGAAAGGAGATATGGTTAGTTTGGGGAGCAGGGAAAGTGTAATATGAACTTACAAAGGTTGTTTTAGGGGGAGCACAGCAGCCTGGGCGTACCCCTTCCTGGCT